TCTTTTCCTCCTGCTGCTGCTTCCTGTCCGTCTCTGTGTTGCTCTGCTGTCTGTGCTTAAGGCTGTACACCCCGGGGTTTTGCTTTGCTTGCTTTCTGCTATGTAATTCTCTTGCTAAATGTCTGTATGTATTTTTCCTGCTGTTCATATGATTCAGTGTATTAAACTCTGTTCCAAGAATTCTACTCTTTTCCAGAGCATCTTAATTTTAATTGGATCTAAAAGGATTGGATCTCCACATCGTTGGTGGGAGAAGGTTATCAGGATGGCTTCAAAATTTGCGACCACATTATTCTCCCCCTCATCACCACGGCCTGCTCTACAGTTTGATAATCCAAAGGCCCCATTATGCTCAACGTCCTCCCCCTGGTGAATAGCACAATACGACAAAGTGACATCACTCTGGTGGCAGTTCATCAGGTTGCGCACCTCTCGAGAAGCACACATGCTGTAGCCACATCCAAGTTTAAGACACAAGTGTACAACTGACTCGTTTTTTTTCACCATTTCAATGACATATCAGTACAGGAAGTCAGAGATTCAAAGATTATACAGTGGAAGGCGTTCCAACAGTTTGGAAAGATGAGACTTTCTGGAAAACAAAAAACCCTCCTGTTTTGACTTCTTCTTGTGCCGTAGGCGCTAATACAAGATCTGTGGTGAGGGCGAAGCAATCAAAACAGCAGTTTGAGCAGCCATGAAGACCACTGTCTGCTCTGCACCAGTCCAACATGGACTCCAACTGGACAACAATAGTGCTAAATAACAAGTATAGCTTACACTAAACAGCCTATCATCGTCATACTATTAGAATGATTACAATGATTGTACTACAATTTTGCTTTTTGACACCAGATACCTGGTTAACCAGATAAGATCCACCGCAGTTAACATAAGGACATCACACCTGAGGATTAAAGATTTAGGCTATCAAAGGTCACTCGCTGAGCAGTGCTTCCCTTTAAAAACGCTGTTGTTTTTGCTCACTTTCACCCACGGTAGTAACACAAACACTGTTATCATTAGGACAAAAGGACAGAGAGAAAGCCACTGTGCAAACATCTTCCCATTCTTAGAGGTGATATTTGAAGGTAACAACATGCTTCGAGAAGCTGTTCTATGTTTCTTAACAACACAAGCTGAAGATCCTTTTCACCTCTGACCAAAAGCGTACACAAACAAAACAGTTAACCAGAATTCTTTCAGGGGCCTGACTAAAGCCTGTCAATAGCTGTGCTCAAAAGGCAGAAGAGACAAGAAGACGACCTGAAATGACCAGCGTTTACTGAAGATGAAAGAGGACGACAATGTTGAAGAATCAATGCTTCTCTCTTTTTTGCACAAATTGAGGTAAATCATAAACCATCCATAAAAAATATATTCCAAGACAGTTTTTCCTTACCTACCTTGCTCTGATATTCTTCAAAGCGGGCTACATTCATTCACTACAAACTAATGTACATGGAAATGTATACATCCTTTTGAGACGCAATAGTGGGATGAAGAAATGCATTTGCAAATACGCTGACAGCGTCTAGCACTGCATTTAATCAAATGTGTTTTTGATGTGATATATCACATCTCAGCTCTAAACATTCGATGTCCGGACGGCGCGTGATGCCTTCCTCTAAAATCTTTCTTACACTCTTCTTCAACTTCCCACCTTTTCTTTCTGTGCGGCTGCTCTCTGTCAAACAGTGGAAGCCATGGGTGGGTTGCGCCTAAACTCAAGGCCTGAGCAACAGCTGCAAAGCAAACCTGCTAAATTAACCGGGTCTCCATGAGCTTCACATATGCATTATTCTAATCAAAGCATATTAGATCATCCAGATACCTTAGACATATGGGTCTCTGTATTCTCGTGCCGTCACCATCTGTTTCTCCTCCCCCGTTTTTTGAATTTTTTCCCCCGTTGTTCTCCATCTGAGTAAATCCCTTGTTCACACAGCTGCCTTTCTGAGAGACTGGCATACATTTCTAACATCGCAACTACTTCGTGATACGTTTCCACATCGAGTCAAACTTGGAGCACCATATGTGTGCATAACCACATGTTATGAGTTTGAGCTACATGGTGGATGTAATTCCAACTAGTTTGCAGAAAACGTACGCACATTATGAGCTTCGTGTCAGCTGAAAAGGAGACGAAATCCACCGACAAACTGTTCACAAACAAATGATCCTCTCAAAGAGAAACTGACGGAAAATGTTAAATTCTTATAAGATGCTGAAATTTTCAGATGAACAACAAAAATCCTGTTTTTCACCTACTCGGTTTTAAAAGCTACTATTGAATGAAAATCAGCATTTACATAATGAATATATTAAAAACGTTTGTATTTTAAAGTTGTTTGCTCCTGGTTGTCTGTTTATTATCAGCGCCAATACAATCTGCGATGTTGTAGCAGGATTTGTGCATGTTTGGTTCAGTGATGTGGACTGAGGAGGAGGAGGAGGAGTGCATGAGAATGAGCACAAATCATTGTAGTTGTGCTTCTGCAAGGATTTTAGACGTTAACCAGAGTTACAGGGATATACAAGACAACCTAAACATGCAACATACACAGAGTATTTCCCACTGCCTCTCAGTCTGCCACTTTTATTTACTCACCAGAGCTGTTTCTGCTAACTCTATGTTTAAAATGTCTCAGGTATGGGCAAAGCAGAAGTGTGAACACAGGAAGACAGAAAATTGTAAAGAAGCAAGGTGAAAAGTGAGCAGGCAAGATGTCTGCAAACTGTCTACTTCTGCAGCATTTTGATGGACACTGTTTTCACTCATCAGAATTAGGATTTTAGTTTATTACATATACATTTGTTATACAGTGATTCTCAGCTGGAAAAGGGTGGAGTGGGTCTTGTACGCAAGTCAGGAGATATGGGGTTAAGATAACTGGTGTGATTGTGAGTGCGAATGGTTGTGTCTCTCTGTTTTAGCTCTGCCTCTGACTGGTGAGCTGTCCAGC